TTATAACAATATCGAAATGATATCGATCTGATATTTTTTCAAACAAATATCTTTACGATATCATTTCGATATATTGAATTAATATTGAAATGATATAATTGAAATATCATAATGATATCATTTGCAAATCGATATCACCAAGATATTTATTTAAAATCATTATTATATCAATTCGGTATTGTTTAAAAATTCAAGGTTTCTGTAAAGTAGATAAAGCTTAAAAGAACTAAGACGACGGTAAAATATTGAAGTTTAATTTTTTATCTGTAGATTATTTAATCATCTAAATTATATTATTAATTCGTGTAACTTGGCGTAACTATATGCAAATCTTATGATCAACTATGCTAAAACTACAGAGAAACCTATTATAGAAGTTTTGGCATGTTTTGGCAGTTTCGCAATTTTGACAGGTTTCACAGTTTCAGCGTTTTGGCATTTCAGCACTATATAAGAGGTTTCACCTTTCGGTATTAGGCCAAACAGATTTCGGCAAGCAACCTTAGTAACAATCATTAAGTCACTTAATCATTATTGGCAAAAACCTAATCAATATGCACTTTTTTTAACAATTTTAGATCCTCAGTACAAAGATCTTGATTTTTTAACAGATGATGAATTAAAAACAAAAACTGAAATTGAACTACGGCATATATATGAAGATTTAAAATTTAAAATAAATCAAGATGAAGAATTGCCTGATGAAGCCCCATCAACCAGAAATCAATTAGCGGAAGATTCAATTTTTAATACACTTCATAAAAGTCAAAAATGTAAAAAAAAAGCAAATGAAGTTGATAATTATCTTGATGAAAATAAAACAGAAAAAGCAGTTCCTAATACTAATCCCTTTGAGTAGTGGAATCACAATAAGCAAAGATTTCCCATACTATCAATATTAGCACGCAAATGCTTGTCTATCCCAGCAACCTCTGTTCCTAGTGAACGCTTATTTTCAGATGCTGGAAATAGCATGACAAATAAACAAATATGCCTTAGTCCAAAAGTTTTTCAAGAAATTCTTTTCATTAAAAGAAATTCAAAATATATTGATATGTTTACACTTGCTGCTAATAAGGTAATATTCTAATTACATAATTGAAATGTTTTCTTATAGTAAACTAATAATTTTTATTTATTAAATTTAGAAAAAGTAAATTAATACTTCTTTATTAAGTATTTACATATTTTAGTTTATTTATTTATTTTTTAACATTATTTATTAAATTCTGTAATTAAGTATTCATATAAATAAAATATATTTTGAAAAACTAATTATAAATTATGGCGTGGGTTAAAATTGTTAAACTAGATAAAATAAATAAAATAATTAACGCAAGATTTATATGTTAATCGATTAATTAATCGATTAATTAGTCGATTATTATTCGATTAATTAGTCGATTATTATTCGATTATGATAGCCAGTTAATCGATTATTAATCAATTAAGGTTTTTTTGGTCGATTCCAACCTCTAATTAAAACCTCTCATGAAAAAAAATAAAAAACAGGTCTTGAAGTCTTCATTACAAACTTTGATGAAAAATGATGAAGCTGTACGTAAAGAATACGAGTAAAGTTCCAAATGGGTTAGATCAGGTCAGGTTAATTGATAAACCTGACCTGAAATTTTTTTTCAGGTCAGGTCAGGTCAGATTATCTGTTTGACCTGACCTGAACTGAAACCTGAAAATTTTCAGGATTTATATTAAAATATCAAAAAAAAATGGTGCAAAACATTTTTTTTGAAATATTGTGATTCAGTTTTTTATATTAAAATCATATAAAAAGGTGAATCGCAATACCGCAACTAATTTTTTAAATATAAAATCAATATAAAAAAGTAAATTCCGATACCGCAATTCACTTTTTATATATAAAATTGATATAAAAAAGTGAATTCCTATACCGCAATTCACTTTTTATATATAAAATCAATATAAAAAAGTGAATTCCTATACCGCAATTCACTTTTTATATATAAAATCAATATAAAAAAGTAAATTCCGATACCGCAATTCACTTTTTATATATAAAATCGATATAAAAAAGTGAATTCCGATACCGCAATTCACTTTTATTATATAAAATCAATATAAAAAAGTGAACCCAATATCGCAATTCACTTTTATTATATAAAATCAATATAAAAAGTGAATTATAATACCATAACTCACTTATTATATAAAATCATAGTTTCAGATCAACAGGTCATTCAGGTTATACTGATGTTACAACCTGAACTGATGCTGAATTGCAATTGCTAAACCTGACCTGAAAAATTCAGGTCAACCTGTCAGGTTACCTGAATTTGGTCAACCTGTTCGGAACTCTAAATACAAGTATCTAAATGCATTGGTTAATGTTAATAATTCTGAAAAAGCAAAAATATTAAAGGTTGTCAATAAAGAATACCAAGCTATGTTCAAAAAAGCTCATGTTGTTCAGTACAATATCTCTTATAGGACAAATTCCATACAATCGTAAAATTCAAACAATAAACAACATGAAGTTTCTACAAATATTAAAGAAAATCAAAACATAAATTCATTAAATGAGCAGAAAATAAAAAAAGAAAAGAAGGATAATTTATCATTACAAATTCCACATAAATTTTCATTCTCAACATCCAAATAAGGTTCATATGTAGAACCAATATTGGAACATATTTAGAAAGTACTTTTTAGATTTGTTGTGAAGAATCGGGATTACATTTCTTCTGACACTATAAAAGATTTTGCATTTAAATGCAATCTTCTGTGAAATATAGATTTTTCTGATGCAGATATATTGTATCTTTAAACTTCATTACAAAACATATTTCTTTGTTTATTATTTCTCATTTTGACCAAATACTGTTTTGTGGCGAGTATAAGTTAAAACTGTTAGATATTCTTCAATCTTTTAAAATTGAAGCAAAGAACTATCATACATATGAAATAATAATAAAATCAGAAGGAAAATAGACTGACAAAAAATTGCAAAAGCTTTCAACTTTGGTATTATAATTAGTCGATTGTTTAGGTAAGTTTCATAAAGATATCATTTATACAGTATTTTAAATATTCATATATTATCTATTAAAAAGTAATAGGTAACAAAGATTCATTTGAATCATTGTTGATGATAAAATGGAATTTAAGTTCTGAATTTACAGAACAATATGCTTTACCAATAAAGAAAAAACATGAAAATAATGAAGATGACTTTCAAGAGAAAAGAGACATATAGCCAATGAAGGACTCAAAAAGTTAATTGATTTCACTTTTAACATAGTAAATAAACTTCATTCAGAAAATAAAAAACATTTAAATCAAATTGTGCAACTTGCAGTAGATAAAATGAAGTATTTATAAATATTTGGTGAGCTTTAGTTACCTCAGAAGATGAAAGTATGAAAATTCAAAATTTTATTTCCTTGATGAATATCCGCTTTGAAATGGTAAATATTTCAAACATATATTGAATGCTTGGTATGATATACAACAGTTTAACTGATTACACATTTTTATGTCTAATAGAATCTAAAGAACAAAATTGGAATAATTTAAGATGTTTTTTTCTATATGATATACATTATTTTTATATTAAATATTTGGCAAAAGTGTGAAAATTTGAAAGTTTATTTTTTGATGAATACAATGTGTAAAAAAAAAAATCAGAATTAAAAAATTGTCTGTAATACTATGATGATTGCACCAAATTATATGTAAAATAGCTTATTCAAAAGCTGAAAACCTGTAGATTTTATCAATGGTAAATTAAAAATAGTGTTTAATGCAGTAATTTTTTTATAATTAAACTTATAATAATAATTTTTTAGATTAAAACTTTTTTATAACTAATTTAAAATTAATGTGTATTTCTTTGCATAAAGTGTAGTAGATAGTCAAAAAAAATTTTTAATTTATACTTTTCTATTGGTCTTGATAATATTTGAGAATTTTCAATAACTTTGTATTCATTATAAATTTACAAATTTCAAATTATATTTTTTCTTCAAAAATCAACACTTGTAGTTAATTTTCTCAAGAAGTAAAAAAGCATTATGATCATGAAAGATGTCAAAATGTAGCCCTAATATTCAAGTTTATTTTGCATTTTAAATGATAAAAATTGGACTTATTTTGAGCGAATTACACACATTTATGTAATTTGAATAATTTTTAGCTTTTTTACTATATACCAAAATTGAGGAATTTTGAAAAGTAAATTTCTCATCATTATTCTACCATAAATATTTCTATACTGCTGATTTTTTGGTATCAACTTTTTTACATTATTCTTAATAATATTTGAATGTTTTTAATTTAAATTCAATATTCAAATGCTTTGTAATCTTAATTTATTTTTTTATTATATTTTTCTGTTCAAAGTAAATATTTACAGCAAAATTTTTCAAAAAAATAATAAAGTAATTATAACTTTAAAAGATATCATAATATAGATCTTGGTTATAGATTTATTATTCAATTTACACAAGGAAAATCAGATTTATTTTGAACATATAATACACATTTTTATTATATTAATAATATTCCAGTTTTTTTTATTACACACTGTATCTACTTTGAAATGGTAAATATTTCAAACATATATTGAATACTCAATATGATATACAACAGTTTAACTGATTGCACATTTTTATGTTTAACAAAATTTAAAGAACAAGATTGAAACAATTTAAGATGTATTTTTCTATATGGTATACATGATTTTTTATATTAAATATTTGGCAAAAATGTGAAAATTTGAAAGTTTATTCTTTGATGAATATCCGCTTTGAAATGTTAAATATTTCAAATATATATTAAATACTCAGTATAATATACAACAGTTTAACTGATTGCACATTTTTACGTCTAACAGAATTTAAAAAACAAGATTGGAACAATTTAAGATATTTTTTTCTATACGGTATACGTTCATTACTACATTATTTTTTATATTATTTTTAATTAGAGCCAACTCTAATTATACAATGTTTATGTTTATACATTTACATAATAATAATTTGCAAATTAAAATATTACTTTATCAATTAATAAATAAATTATTTAATTTCTTTGCAGAATATTATAATACATTGCATCCAAATTATTGAAGAGGTATTTATTACTTATTTCACAACACTCTTTATTGGTAAAACCAAGGATTTGAAAAAATTTAGAAGATACTAAATTGATATATATTCTTTCATTTGCTATGCAAAAAAACAGAAAACATATCAGCCAGTATTACAAATTAAAAATGGTAATAAATGTACCAGATATAAATTGTATATGGCTGGTATATATGTATTCATAGAAATCTTGAAATTGTTTTTGAAATACAAATGCACTGTTTTTTTACACTTTACAGACAGGTTTTTTGCATATGCATTTATTTGTTAAAAAAAGTAAAGCTCAATTATTAATCAAATCATCTACCATAACTTTGGTAACCTTATATTAATTATATAAGAAACTGAATCTATTAACTAACAATTAAACAATATGTATATCTAATATATTTAAATCAGTGTTATCTTTTCATATTCATGATTATATAAAGTTTAGTCAATGATTATTGGAGCAAGTGTCTTGATATCTGTTAGTTTATTTTGTTAAACTATATATAAGATCCCAGTTTCTGAATTATCATTATTACAGTACTTAAGAAATCTAAATACATTTTAGAGTGTCCTGTCCTGTCCTACCACTTGCATTGAAAAAAATACAATCCATATATTTTTTGATAACATTATTATTCAGTTTATTAAAATAACTACACCAACCTACTTCTATATTATTATTATTATTGATTGTAATAACTAAAATTATATAATTTGAATTTATAAGTTTAAAAGGATATAAAGTACAGTATACTCTCGATATACCAAAGCCACGATATACCGAAGATCACTATATACCAAAAATTTTTGTATAACCATTTTCATTAATAATTAAAATCTTTTGATATACCGACTTTATTATAAAATTTTATATAACATTATACCGAAGTTTTCATTTTTACTGTTTATAATAGTATATAATAAAAAAAAGTTCGTTATACCAAAGATCAAAATCATATGATCAAATGATGTTTAATTTGCGTAACTTTCGCAACTTTATTCTTTCATTTTTATTTTTTAGTATTAACGTTACTTTGAAGTTA